TTCGATGTCAATTTTAACAACAAACAAATCCACACATCCACAAACGCGAAGCTGAGTTAAGAAAAACGTGTTAAAATATAATTGTACTAGATACACACAATATACAGCGTAGGAGCAGGGGCGTAGCGAGGGGGGGGGGGGCGGGGGTGCGGACCGCACCGGGTGACACCATTTAGGGGTTGACGCCAAGGCAAAAAATAGCAAAATATATAGAGAAAACTTGATGGGGGGTGCAAATCGAAAGTTTGAGAGGGGGTGAAAATCGAAAACTTGAAAATTTGTCCCCGGGAAGGGTCGCTACGCCTCTGGGGGGTGACACCATTACGTGCAGCACCGGGTGACACCCGACCTCGCTACGCCACTGCGTAGGAGTAGGATGTAGTAGAAACAGTTGTGTGAACGTGATTTATAACAATAAAAAAAATATATACTAGTTTTTTTTTATATATATTGCAATTTAAAAAATGATTTATACATTAGCAAATGTATCTGTCACAAAGACCCATCTTTTTGTAGGGCTACTCGACAAAAATTTAACACTAATGTTATTTATAATATCAAAAGAGAAAACAGGGAACAGGGCATTACCCCCCCCCCCCACCCGTAGTTTCCATCCCAGGGACATTTTCCCCGACATTACCCCCGGAGTAATTACCCCCTGTCAATCACACCCCTGTCAATTACCCCCCTGTCAGTAGGTTTAGAGTGAAGTTTAGGGTTATCGCTAGGTGAATGCTTAGGTTTTGGATTAGGGTAATATATAGGTATAGAGTTCGAGTTAAAGTCAGGATTCTAACTTGGAGAGTGATGGGGGGGGGGGGGTGATTCTCCAGGGGGTCATTGACAGGGAGGGTAATTGATCGGGGGTAATAGCTCCGGGGGTAATTCTTGAACATTCTTGAATATTCGTATATATTATGTATATATTATGTATATAATTATATATATATATATAATTATATATATATATATATATATATATATATATATATATATATATATATATATATATATATATATATATATATATATATATATTCACATACTATATTAGTAATCTTAATTTTAAAATATTTAGTGAAATATGACAAATTTATGCGGCAAACTTTTCTTACAATTATTATATAGTCCTATAAACAATATTGACTAAAGTAAACAAATCCATATTGACAGCCAATAAAAAAAAAGTTCAAGTCAACTAAAATCATCGTACATACTATAACAATTTTGCTGAGAGATATTATGTCTAAGATATTTTTTTGAGATCATTTGTCAATAATATCATTTGTCCAGAAATATTTTGTCCTGAGATCGTTTGTCCTGAGATCATTTGTCCTAAGATCATTTGTCTGTGAGATATTTTGTCTGAGATATATTGTCTGAGATCATTTGTTCTGAGATCAATTGTCATGGAACCATATATATATATATATATATATATATATATATATATATATATACATATATATATATACATATATACATATATACATATATACATATTGTTATTTATATATATATAATATTTAGGCTATATATCAGTGATATGCTCTAACTGTGATCTACATATCGTACAAAGCCTTTCCAATACAAATGAACATAACCAGCTTTTGATCCTGTTTAGTACCAAACATGAGATCAAACAATTTTTTTATTATAGGCTCTGTGCTCGTCCCCTCAACAACACCACCTTTATCAATGTCTATCGTGGTTTTAATAACCTCGGCATATATGGGGAAACTGTGGTCAGCACTATGTCTATCTGGAGGATGCCATGTAGATTTCTGGAAATCTGACCTCTGTATGTGTGTGGATCTCACCTGTGATAGAAACCTATAAAAATGCTACAAACACCCGTAGAGGTTGGTCGCTAGATTTATATGTCTGTGTAGTATAAAAAGGCCACGTTTTATTAACGTCCAATATCTTTTCTATATTTCATGTACTCCCAGTCATCGTCAATATTTTCTTATATAAATTTACTCCGATAGACATGCAAGCACACCTGTACTTAACAAGGACTGAGTCAAAACGTGAGGCCAGTGGCGTAGGCAGGGGGGTTAGGGGGGGTCATAACCCCCCCCCCCCCATAGACCCCTCGGTATATAGAAAAAGTATGAGGGGGGTGGAAATCGAAAGTTTGAGGGGGGTGGGGTGCACATCGAAAGTTTGAGGGGAGGGGTGCAAATCTAAAGTTTGAGGGGGTGCAAATCGAAAGTTTGGGGGGGGGGGTGCAAATCTAAAGTTTGAGGGGGGGGGGGGGTGCAAATCTAAAGTTTGAGATGGGGGGGGGGGGGCAAATCTAAAGTTTGAGGAGGGGTGCAAATTGAAAGTTTGTCCCGGGTAAAAATTGGAACTCCCTCTTGAGACAACCATTTGGATTGGTCTGGACGACATTGTTGATGAAGGTTACTTTGTGTGGTCGGATGATGGGACAGTCGTGGAGAGCAGCTGGAAAGTGAAGTCCTTGTGTCAAGGTGTATATGAGTATGTATTGATGTTCTTGTATGAGGAAGTATTGATGTTCTTGTATGAGGATGTATTGATGTTTTTGTATGAGGAAGTATTGATGTTCTTGTATGAGGATGTATTGATGTTCTTGTATGAGGAAGTATTGATGTTCTTGTATGAGGATGTATTGATGTTTTTGTATGAGGATGTATTGATGTTCTTGTATGAGGAAGTATTGATGTTCTTGTATGAGGATGTATTGATGTTTTTGTATGAGGAAGTATTGATGTTCTTGTATGAGGATGTATTGATGTTCTTGTATGAGGAAGTATTGATGTTCTTGTATGAGGAAGTATTGATGTTCTTGTATGAGGATGTATTGATGTTTTTGTATGAGGATGTATTGATGTTCTTGTATGAGGAAGTATTGATGTTCTTGTATGAGGATGTATTGATGTTTTTGTATGAGGAAGTATTGATGTTCTTGTATGAGGATGTATTGATGTTCTTGTATGAGGAAGTATTGATGTTCTTGTATGAGGATGTATTGATGTTTTTGTATGAGGATGTATTGATGTTCTTGTATGAGGAAGTATTGATGTTCTTGTATGAGGATGTATTGATGTTTTTGTATGAGGAAGTATTGATGTTCTTGTATGAGGATGTATTGATGTTCTTGTATGAGGAAGTATTGATGTTCTTGTATGAGGATGTATTGATGTTTTTGTATGAGGATGTATTGATGGTCTTGTATGAGGATGTATTGATGTTCTTGTATGAGGAAGTATTGATGTTCTTGTATGAGGATGTATTGATGTTCTTGTATGAGGATGTATTGATGTTCTTGTATGAGGATGTATTGATGTTCTTGTATGAGGATGTATTGATGTTCTTGTATGAGGATGTATTGATGTTCTTGTATGAGGATGTATTGATGTTCTTTTATGAGAATGTATTTATGTTCTTGTATGAGGATGTATTGATGTTCTTTTATGAGGATGTATTGATGTTCTTGTATGAGGATGTATTGATGTTCTTGTATGAGGATGTATTGATGTTCTTTTATGAGGATGTATTGATGTTCTTGTATGAGGATGTATTGATGTTCTTGTATGAGGATGTATTGATGTTCTTGTATGAGGAAGTATTGATGTTCTTGTATGAGGAAGTATTGATGTTCTTGTATGAGGATGTATTGATGTTCTTGTATGAGGATGTATTGATGTTCTTGTATGAGGATGTATTGATGTTCTTGTATGAGGATGTATTGATGTTCTTGTATGAGGATGTATTGTTGTTCGTTTATGAGTGTATTTTGATGTTTGTGTATTAGGATGTCTATTAATTATTAGATTGTCAAATTATAAATATTGTTGTTTTTTTTTACTTTTTAAGCGCACGTTTAATACATATGAGAAAAATATGGTGAAATATTTGTTCTTTACAGGCGAACCATATGGTGGTGTTTACCAAAACTGTATTAGGGGAAATGTTCCTTCCTTCTGTGCTTTTGATGACTTTTGCTCTAGACTACATTATTTCTTGTGTGAGATCACCAACTTCCTCGAGTAAATGTAAACAAAACATCTAATACAGTCACATGCTTCAAAATACACATATTTCTGTAAATAAAGATGTGTAAGGACAAGTGAAATTTTACACTAACGTCTTAGATGGCAGTTATTGGAGCAGAATTGCTATACTATGAACGATTGGCATGTTTTTATCTTTGTACAATCATTTTCCAGCGATATTTTGCTAATAAACTTTGTGTATTTTCTTTACATTTTAAGGATAAATTTGTTAAAATAATTCATACTAAAATTGACAAAAAATGACATTACAGGATCCCTTATGCATTCTCATTAACATTCTGGGAAAATAAAAATCTACAAAATTCAGGTGTTATTTTAAATGCATATAAGCTATTTTTAACACAACAGTCCTTGCAGAACTGAAACAACGCTAAAGAAATACGAAGGTTAAACCCCTTTACTTAACATCAGAAAAAACAATATGATTATTTCTACATTTAACTTACATTCTTAACCCTACTAATCAAGAATGCATTTCTCTTTAGAATTTCAAATTTTATCTAAATAGAAACTTTTATAATGAAAGTATTTAAATTTACATGATTAACACGTCAGCTTGATGATTAGTCATTGGTATTTGTTTCACACAACTTTGTTATTACCTTTGTTGAGGAAAACTGTTTCAGAGTTTATTACAAAGAGAACCATAATATGTGTGAATGTTTGATTTAGGGCCAAATACATATAATACGATCTACACTTTTAACACTCCAATTTGTTTGTACGTGTTTAGCATGTAAGAAATAAACATCACGTGTTTGTTCGATTATAATTTTTCTATTGATTTTACACGTCCCTGAGTCTAATGTATGTGGTGAGATTAGGATTGTTGTCACGTCAAACCGATTATAGTCAACAAAGTGTACGTGTACATTAATTAACTGTCACCTGACGGAGTACGTGTTCATGTGTACATGTCTGATAGGCTAGTGGTACGAGAGGGGTGTTGTACATGTTATGTACACAAGGAATATCCGGACTTTTTTTTTAAGAGGAAATCTTAATTTCAATTTTTAACAACAGAGGTAAGTATAAGAATCATTTAATTTATGTTAGTATTGTATAGGCGCAGAGTTAAATATAAGTAGCTTATTTATGTATGGTACAGATGAATAAGCGAATGCTAGTTGAACTTAGCTCTATAATATACCATACGTATTTTATACATGTATTTTTTACCATAGATTCCATCTGAAGCTATGATCGTGACAGTATTTCATATATGCCTAGCTGTAGCTATTTTCCTTGATCAAATTTGTAAGTAAATTCAAGGTATAAAACTTAGTTACAAATAGCGTGTATTTGGTTCAAGCGATATCTATAAACTGCAATTCATGAAACCGACTTTTAAAACTACATCTTCCTAAAAGGGGCTGTAGCAGTTCTTTATTTTTATTTTATTTTAAGTAGTTGCAGGCATTACCATTCATGTTCTTGAGAGTTTAAATATTGTCTTACTAATTGGGGGCTAGGCCTGGAGGAAGGCAAAGACGATTAACTGGCCACTACTACATGTCATTCAGATTAACGGTCATCATCGTTTGTCATTTAGATTCATTGTCACCACTGCATGTCACACTGATTCACTGGCCACCACTGCCCATTACCTAGATTCACTGGCCACCACTGCCCATCACCTAGATTCACTGGCCACCACTGCCCGTCACCTAGATTCACTGGCCACCACTGCCCATCACCTAGATTCACTGGCCACCACTGCCCATCACCTAGATTCACTGGCCACCACTGCCCATCACCTAGATTCACTGGCCACCACTGCCCATCACCTAGATCCACTGGCCACCACTGCCCATCACCTAGATTCACTGGCCACCACTGCCCATCACCTAGATTCACTGGCCACCACTGCCCATCACCTAGATTCACTGGCCACCACTGCCCATCACCTAGATTCACTGGCCACCACTGCCCATCACCTAGATTCACTGGCCACCACTGCCCATCACCTAGATTCACTGGCCACCACTGCCCATCACCTAGATTCACTGGCCACCACTGCCCATCACCTAGATTCACTGGCCACCTAATACATGTCATTCAGATTCATCAATTACCTCAAAACGAAATCAATTCAACATTAAATTATCTTAAAATCAATGTCAAATTATAAAATGATCGTTTTGTAAGCACAATGTCAATTTGAATCAAAATTGTGCCGTCTATGTGTTTGAACATTTCTACGCGAGTTTCGACCTATGTTAATTAATTAAAACTAAAGAATACGAATTTGAGTCGAATAAACGCTTAAAATATATACACAGGTGATCACCGTGTTGATAAAAACTTTTTTTTTCGAACATTGCAGGGCCTGTTACTGCATATGACTTTGAGCTATCCAACTTCCTGTATGTGTTGACGGGAAAGTACACTTCTACTGTGTCCCGCAAAGACGGGAAGTTTAAGCTGACTGATTACGAAGCCTTGGTCAGGCCAGTCGAGGCGGAGATGATTGACCACTTGGTCAGAGTTGGCGGCGTCCACTCCCAGATTTTAACTACCATCTAATCTTTTAGTAGAATGATTGTTCGACCTACCTCAAACATTCTTACAATCTTTTATTTAACTTGCTTCCTGTGTCGCCATGTATAGAAACGGGCGAGCGAAATTTCGAGCACTTCTAACTGACCTAATGTGAAATGAATCGGTCATTTGGAGGTGCTCAAATTTTGCTCGGCAGTTTCGATCTATGACGACAGACAGAAAGACGAGATAGACAGATAGACAGACAGAAAAAGCAAATTAAATAAAAGCTTGTGAAAAATATTTCAGGGAATACCACTATATTTTGAGGAGATCCAAAACAGGAAAGTAATCCGCAGAAGTCTTTTAGCAGTAACCTCTGAAATTAATGGTTTGATTGTTCGCACCTACAATTTCACTCGCAAGCTTTTTTTTGGGTGAGTGTCATTAAGCTAGCTCGCATTTTACCGACATTATTAAATGGTAACTGCGCGATACATTTTCTGTGATGTGAAATAATCAAATTTTGAGACCTCTATGAAAATCGAAGACCACATTCTTCCTGCTCTAGAAACAAAGACTAAGTGGCTACACCGAAGACGGAACGAAGAAAGGACTGGCACACTATCTAGCGGCTTATTATTATTTATTTAAAATTCACGGTTGAGGCCATAATCATTCACTTTAACGATTTCTTTTTACTATTATTGTCCACACGTTTTCTATAAAAACAGCCTTCTCTACAGCTATTGTCGGTTATTCATCCTGTCTATGAAAAAGCCTTCTGTACTAGTTTATTGTATGTCTCTCAGACTGTCTTAAAAACAAACAGCCTTCTCTACTAGTTTATTGTATGTCTCTCAGACTGTCTTAAAAACAAACAGCCTTCTCTACTAGTTTATTGTATGTCTCTCAGACTGTCTAAAAACAAACAGCTTTCTCTACTAGTTTATTGTATGTCTCTCAGACTGTCTTAAAAACAAACAGCCTTCTCTACTAGTTTATTGTATGTCACCCATCTTGTCTTAAAAACAAACAGCCTTCTCTACTAGTTTATTGTATGTCAGCCAGACTGTCTAAAACACAAACAGCCTTCTCTACTAGTTTATTGTATGTCTCTCAGACTGTCTAAAAACAAACAGCTTTCTCTACTAGTTTATTGTATGTCTCTCAGACTGTCTAAAAACAAACAGCCTTCTCTACTAGTTTATTGTTTTTCACCCAGCCTGTCTTAAAAACAAACAGCCTTCTCTACTAGTTTATTGTATGTCACCCATCTTGTCTTAAAAACAAACAGCCTTCTCTACTAGTTTATTGTAGGTCAGCCAGACTGTCTAAAAACAAACAGCTTTCTCTACTAGTTTATTGTATGTCTCTCAGACTGTCTAAAAACAAACAGCTTTCTCTACTAGTTTATTGTATGTCTCTCAGACTGTCTAAAAACAAACAGCCTTCTCTACTAGTTTATTGTTTTTCACCCAGCCTGTCTTAAAAACAAAAAACTTTCTCTACTAGTTTATTGTATGTCTCTCAGACTGTCTTAAAAACAAACAGCCTTCTCTACTAGTTTATTGTATGTCAACCAGACTGTCTAAAAACAAACAGCCTTCTCTACTAGTTTATTGTATGTCTGTCAGACTGTCTTAAAAACAAACAGCCTTCTCTACTAGTTTATTGTATGTCACCCATCTTGTCTTAAAAACAAACAGCCTTCTCTACTAGTTTATTGTATGTCACCCATCTTGTCTTAAAAACAAACAGCCTTCTCTACTAGTTTATTGTATGTTACCCATCCTGTCTTGAAAACAAACAGCCTTCTCTACTAGTTTATTGTATGTCTCTTAGCCTCGCAGGTCCGCCTGCTTCGTTCTTCGAAGAACTGACTCTCGATGACATCACGGGACTCGAACACTGCACCATCAGGCTTACCTCCAAAGACATGCTGTCTACGGTGTTTAGCGGTACCTACCCACTGTGCCACGTGAATCTTTGGGTGAGGGATCTGGCCTGTTCTTTTACCGACAGCATTATTCCCAACTAGAGATCAACACAACTGATGCACAAACTGATCAAATTAGAAACAGAGGTTTTGAGGCAAACTTTCTCCATAAACAATCATCATACATATACACTACACATTCGACACATAAACATACAGAAACCCATGCATACAAAATCACACACATGAAAACAAACATACATACAAAACAAGGGCGTGTTCATGCAAACATGGACACACACACACACATAAATTCATAATGAGTGTTAGATATATATATATATATATATATATATATATATATATATATATATATATATATATATATATATATATATATATATATATATATATATATATATATTTATTTATATATATATATATATATAAATAGAGTCCACCTATATACAAGATAACATGGAACTGCAGTGCAATCGAATGGATAGTGCAGGACATTTCTCGAGGAAATACAAAGACAGACCCGAAAGCTGCTCGAATTTACACTTACAAAAACTATGAAAAGTGAGGACGAAATATTTGCTCTTCTATTCTTTCAAATAACAAAACAAAACGCCCAGCATTTGACAGAGCAGCATCTTTATACCCCATACGTATTTTGTCTTTTCACCGACTCTAATATTAAGTAACTGAGAACATGACGTGCGTGTATTGATTCATGAAAGTGAAAACGTTGTCGACAACTGGATTGCATACAAAATCTGATTTTTTTTAGTTTACAGACATGTTTAATTTACGGTGCTAATTGAATTTTATTTGACAGAGATATTTGTTCTAGCTAGACAAGATTAAAAAAAAATTGACCCATTCTCAACGTAAATGGTTGGATTAGCTTTTCACCAATTGTGCGAGGGTGTGTTTTGCTGTCTATTTCCAATGGAGTCTTCTATCGTGCTCACTAGCTGAAAAACACATCGACCAACACCTTGACTTTTGCAACTAGTTTCGAGCCGACGAAAATCTCCAGACGGTTTTTAAGTTTCTGAATCTTTCATCTTTAGTGACGGTTGAGTTTCGAATGTTTCACAGACTCATGACAACAACGTTCCATACTAAAAAAATATATATAATTTCTATTCCATTTTAGTAAAGCAAATTTGTTTAGTTGACTGTAGAAGTTTGCGACCATTCAGATGGGGTTGCGGCACACATGTTGGGAACCCGTGCTCTAGGCTTTAAATAATGTCTTTGTGACAGATACGAATTCTCGAAATGTTCCAACAGCGAGTTTTTCTGTTATTGCAGGTATGAGTCCCCGGAATCTTATAATAGGTTTCAAAGTGATAAAAACCCGTGCCAACAAAAAGGGGACTTCGTCATCAAATGGTAAACATAAAGTGATGAAACCCCGTAGGGCCTGCATCGCTGACAGACATACAGACTGACAGACATACAGACTGACGGACATACAGACTGGCAGACATACAGACTGACGGACATACAGACTGGCAGACATACAGACTGACAGACATACAGACTGACGGACATACAGACTGACAGACATACAGGTCGACAGACATACAAACTGACAGAAATACAGATTAACAGACATACAGACTGACAGACATACAGACTGACAGACATACAGACTGACAGACATACAGACATACAGACTGACAGACCTACATGCTGACAGACATACAAACCGACAAACATACAGACATACACACATAAGCCTTCAGACCCGAAAACAAACACTTAATAAAATGGTGTTTAAAAGCATGATGAGCGTTTTGTTTAACAAAGAATCTGTGCACATTTTTTCAACAAGCTGGTAAAAATTGTGACTGACCTTAGAAAATAAAGTGAAAATTATGTTTAGTGGAAAATTTAGTTTTATTTATGCAAGTATGAATACAGGTATATCTAAATACACTTTTTTCAAACAAAACCAAATAAAGATATTGGCACTCTAAATGTAACTATATTCATGGTAAGGTAAAACGTGTTTATTAAACTGTTCCAATACTACAGAAATCATGAATCAGGATTAATGGGAAAACAAGTTAATGACAAGTTTGTTTGCTTTAATGCACCAAAAGGAGATCATAAATGACATTATTAAATATATAAAAATGACTTGCTATTTAAATAAATACAAAAGAAAGCAGGGCTATTAGATTATTTATTGCAGGGACGTAGCGAGGGGGGGGGGGGGCGGGGGGTGCGGAACGCACCGGGTGACACCACTTAGGGGGTGACACCAAGACAAAAAATAGCAAAATATATAGAGAAAAACTTGACGGGGGGGGGGGGTGAAAATGGAAAGTTTGAGGGGGGGGGTGCTAAAGGAAAACTTGAAAGTCTGTCCCCGGGAAGGGTCGTTACGCCTCTGGGGGGTGACACCATTAAGTGCCGCACCGGGTGACACCCCACCTCGCTACGCCACTGATTTATTGGATACATTTACTTATATTTATTTAATTGATGGAGTTTTTCCCAAAATAAGTTAAATAAGGGAGATGATTTAATAAATTAACAATTTCAGTTTGGCTTTAAGTTAAAACCCTTTAAGTACCTATCTCATTGTAATTATCGTATGATTAGACATAAAATGTTTCGAAGTGTCTACTCGGCAAAAGATAGATATGCGCATGCGCAGTGACCTATGGCTAGGGTTAGGGCTAGAATGAGGGTTAGTGGTAGGATTAGGGATAGGGTTAGGGATAGGATTAGGGCTAGGGTTAGGATTACGGTTAGGGTTAGGGATAGGATTAGGGATAGGGTTAAGGATAGGATTAGGATTGGTCTAAGGGTTCTGCCGTTGTAAACACACGCATGCGCAGTACCATCGAAAACATCGCCGCTAAGGCAAGTCGTAGTTTCTCTCTCCATTGCGCATGCGTATCGCATGCGTATCTTATTCCGGCTAGAATCGGCCAAAATGTTTTTACTTTAATCTGTAACTTGAGGACTACATCAAGGCGGTCACAAGAAGCTATGGCACCAGTGCTGGAACTGAGGCGTTGTTAGACCGAATCAGTCGATACCACAGTTGGTTTGACGTCCTACAAGACGTTCTCAGAGACGACAGTGTCAAGCTGGTTCATGTGGCTGATGAGATGAACGTCATTAAAGGTAAGTTCAAATCTTAGATATCGTGAGTTATGGTTTGCTGTTTACTGACATTTACTTAACAAAATTGTTTTTGTTTCCATCTATATATGGTTGTTAGACTTAGGACTAATTAATTAATTATGAATAATTGCTCGTTGCTTTTATTCTTAGAAAAGGACGAAAAACGTTACACCAAGAAAAAGTGTAAAAAGGTATATTTAATGTATAATTGATTGTAATAAATTCAATTTAGGGATCATCCATAAATGACTTCACGCTTTCTTTGACGATTTTACCTCCCCCTTCCCCCCTCCCCTCCGTCACACATCGTCAAAAAAATCCAGACACCCCCCCCCTAAAATGACGTCACACCTTAGCCTACAACTCCCCTCAAAATTGCATTTGAATTTTTCTTAAAACAACGATATTTTTCCAAAAACTTGTTTGAACTCTGTCAACATAGAGTATTTTAATCAATTCCTACTACAATTTATTAAAACGGTTTTCTAAAACGCGAAATGACGGCTAAAACTCGTTTTCTAACATTGCTTTTATATAATGTAAAAGAGTGACGTCACACTATTTGAACCCGCTCCTACCCCTCATCACACACCTTCACAAAATTACGGACCCCCTTCCCCCCTATGAGTGTGACGTCATTTATGGACGACCCATTAGGATATATAGGCCTACATTTGTCTGTTATATATATATATATATATATATATATATATATATATATATATATATATATATATATATATATATATACATTTTTATATGTATAACACAAGAGATCATTGTAACAAATTCTTCATGAATGGGTTTTAAAATCTAATACAAACAATAAATTTTAATTTTCTGAGATACACTAATATTTGTAGATGTCTGATCTTTTTGTATAGGCAAAAAAACAAAAATGTTATTAGACCTTAAATGTCGAAGGCGTAAAAAAACGCATGTATTGACTTCTGGCAACCTTATTATTTTGTCGATTCATTTTCTTATACCTAGCATAGTATAAATGGTAAATTTAGAAATAATAACGAAATTTTACAAACAAAAGCCCCATATGAAGAATAGTTGCCATATCCGTTTTTAATAATTGTCAACCAAATATCATGTTGTCAACTTAAACAGTTTTTATTACGCTTTACACGATTGCCACGATCAAATGAATACACGTAATTATATTTTTTTTTTATTTTGCATATAAAATTGTGCAAAACTTTTAAGGATGATCATGTTATCATTTTTTTTTCGTCAATATACAAACACATTTTCCTTCTGTACCATAAAAATAATGTGTTTCTGTTTACAAAAAAAAATACGACTTGCATTAAAATTTTAGCGTGCTGCTAAAACAAAAAAAAACTTCAGTATTAATAACTTTTATTTCATTCCTCATTTGAAGTGGTTGCTTTGTCTTACTGGGGTAGAGCTTTGCAAGTGCAATCACACCCACGTCCATTGTATTGGTAAATTTTACAACACATTTCATTTCAGACCACAACAGTTTATAACATGATAGATACAGATTAAGACATGTTTTAAATACATTTATTCTTTATACTCAAGCCATATAAAAAATAAAATAAAATTGTGTAATTAAAATCTAAAATAGAAAAATAACGAAAGCTAAATTTATTATATGTGTACAAAGGCTAGGCCAGTGGCGTCGCTAGGTTGGGTGTCACCCGGTACAGCACTTTGTGGTGTCAGCCCCCCCCCCCCCCCAAAAGAAAACCAACTACAAAGTATATATATATATATATATATATATATATATATATATATATATATATATATATATATATATATATATATATATATATATACATACATTATATATGTGTATATGTATGTGTGTTTGTATTTGTGTGTGTTTGTGTGTGTGCCACAAACGCGTACATGTGTGTGTAAAAGCTTTAATCACTGCAGACTTAACAGTTACGATGCTTATGTAGATTTTTTTTTTAAATAAAAACAGTTGGATGGTGTCACCCGGTGCGGTGCGCATCCCCCCCCCCCCCCCCCCCCCCCGCCCTAGCTACGACTCTGGGCTAGGCTAATAATAATGCATATAAAAGCAAAAGGGATACATTTTTAAGACAAAGAAAAAAAAACTACAATGCGTTTTAAACAGTGACATTGAATGGGATATACGGTAATGTATTACTACATTAATCATTACAAAAATTCTATTACTCAAAGGCTTGAACGCTTTTGTCTTCTGGTGAACATAAACGATACCTCCAAAGGATTAGATATATAATTTAATCAAAAAAGCTATTTATAAAGTCTTTAACACTTAGCTTTACCAGGAAGCAGTATATGTGTCTGTATGTGCTTTTTTTCTTCATACGATGCTTCAAGTCGAGTGTGCTTTATTATGTTAGAATTAGTGATTGTATGTAAGTTTTTGTGTGTAAGTAAAAGCAAAATTGTATTTCTGAATTAATTAAGAAGCTTGTGTTAGAGACTTCCAATGTGTGTTCATTTTTGCAAGCTAACATTTTGTCTTACAAAGTCTGTTTCTTTTTTTTTTTGTCTGTTGCAAATCCTGCTGCTTATTTTTGACCAAATTCTTATGGAGCAATTTTGTTCCCTTTTCTGATACCTTTTTAATAGATGACAATGCAAGAATAATTATTTTTGATCTAATTAGATATTTATTTTAATATGAATAAATTAATTAAATGGTTTTGAAACTTAAGGGAGACAAGACGATTGTTCGATCAGTTATCTGTCTATTAGAGATCAAAAGCTACTTATGAAAAATACAAACAAAATCCTTTGTAAGTAAAGGCTTTTAAAAGCACAAAATATAATAGAATAAATTAAAATTGCCTCCTATAATAAAAGCAAATGTCGCTAAAATATGTAAAAAATCTCAAGAGCTATTTATGTTTGTTTTTTTAAGAAAGCAAATTTGTTTTGTTGTCTTAAAAAAATGTTCAATGCTTTTAAAAGCCTGTTATATTAATTGTTTTTATATTTGTTTAATTATTACTCTCTTTATTATTTTACTATTTTATAAGAGGGGTTATCCATACGTGACGTATTGCTATTTTGACGATTTTTACATCCCCCTTTTCCTCCGTCACACATCGTCACAAAAAGACAGCCCCCCCCCCCCTCTAAATTAACGCGTCACAACCCCTCCCTCAAAGTTGCATTTGAATTTTTCTTAAAATACGATATTTTTCCAAAATCTTGTCTGAAATCTTTCCACATAAAGTATATTAATTATTTTAATGCCTATTCATTTATTAAAACAGTTTTCTGAAACGCGAAATAACAGCTAAAATTTATTTTCTAACATTGCTTTTTTATAATGCAAAAGTGTGACGTCACACCATCTGAACCCCCCACCCTCCTAACCCTCATCACACACGTTCACAAAATTACGGACCCCCACATTTACGAATGTGACGTCATTTATGGACGACCCCATAGGTTTCTAGCCCGTTGATTTCATCTTCATTTCCGTGAAAGTTATTCTTTCAAGATTATACCAGCAAATACCATAGAAACTCGGATTCCCATACACGCCATTGAGGTTGACGGTTAGACATTTAAGGAACCAGAACCCGCTCTGATAATCACGAGCACAATTGGTGCTTGTTATGTCGTTGTCCCTTTCATATGTGCTGAAGCTCATATTATTATGGTATGACAAACTGTCACCGCAGTTCCCCGTGAATCCATTGATTAACATTCTGTAGTCGTCACATTCAGATAAAATTTGAAAGCTGGAATACTGGGCGAAGTAGGTCTGATTCATGACGTCTGTGAAATCAATTCTTAGCTCGTGATTCCTTTGAGTCATAAGGAAATAGATATTTTCATTCCCCAGATAAAATTCCCCCATCGATGCGTTACCAAACCCGTATTTGTATTCGCCCCAGCCACGGTTAAAACTTAAAAGTGGGGAAAAACGTCTTTGGAAGATGGTCCATCCACCGCCGTCAGAGACTGTGTCACACATGACAACTAGCCCGGATGTGAGGGTCACCACAGGTCGGGGGTCAGAGGTCACTACCTCCTGGCAGGAATCGTACACTGGAGACGTCACAGGGCCTAGGACATCAAGTTTTCCAAGACTCAAGCAACCCCCTGCAATAATAGTATAGGTCATTTATTAAACTCATATTCATCTTTTTAGAGATTTTAACAGTTTCTACAAGTCAATAAATGTGGAAATACTATGCTAAGATTAGGGACAAAGTAGTCGAGCGGTAGAGCCTACGATAGCATACATGGAAGTCTAGAGCAGGAAAGCCTAGATTTCGGATCTCTAGCTTGAGACTGTATGACGTCAATGAGTCCAGCCAGCTCTAATGGGTACCTGACCCACGATAGGGAAACAGGCCTCTGGACATAGTGCTGACTACATTATCCCATGTAAACCGAGGTCATTGAAACTGGTGAGCTCTTCTTCACCTGACATGTATTTTGTGCTTGTGCTTGAAAACTTGATGATGAAGATGTCAGCCTTCCACTAACATGGTCTGGATTGAGTGGGCTTTACTATAGCTTGTAATGGATATTGATTATGTATTCGTCTCTTAATTGACGTTTTCAATACCAAAAATAAATTGGATCTGCAGATCATATGACTGGGTAGGTTCATTGATTTTGGGTCTATACGTACAATAAGCTCTATAAAAATAGTCTTTTATATAGAATAGCGAATATACTCAACGACAATCTGAATAAAGTTATGTAGTTTTTTTTTCAATACTACAAAGAATCAACACACTAGCAAATTTAAACAACACTTATAGAAAAATCACTTTACCTGTGCAAGAGCAAAGGTCACAATATGATAGATTGCCATCTGATTGTAAGGAAACTGTTTTGTTAGTGTTGCAGTATTTGCCAACTGTGTAAAGTTTTCCCTGTAGGGTGCTGTTTAAAGTATGAGATGGGACTACCCAGGAACCTGTAGATACTCATGTAAAATATAAATTAATTAAATTAATATATATATATATATATATATATATATATATATATATATATATATATATATATATATATATAGATAGATAGATATGGACCAGGGCAGATGTCAGCTTTGTAATTCTTACATAAATTATTTTTAATTGTGGATGAATATCTTGTATATTGCTCAAAAATAAATCAGCCTGGACTAATTTTTTCAAAACACGGACTTACCCAGATGACACTGTCTGGATGTCGCGTTATACATGTAGCTGTAACATGTCTTGTTGGATCTAAGACACAGTGAAACACAAGAGAAGTGTCTCAAGTCATTCATTTCTTGGTTGAGAGAGAGCATCGTCCATTCCGTTTGGTTGAGTAACGTAAAATGGCCTTGTTTTATTGTACCTGATCAAACGGAAGATAAGAGAATTACTATCAACGATATTATTTTAGACGAGCCGACCCCACGGCGTATCATACGTCACAGCTCACCGGACTAGTGGGGGCGGGGGTGGTAGCTATATGCGTAGAGAGTGGGGGAGTGACGGCGTGCGTTTACGTAGCGTCTCGCATGGTCCCCATGAATAGAGTTATAATATACGAGCCGACCCGCGGCATATCATACGCCGCTATCTAGTTGTTTTTTTTTCTAGTTTACAGTAATTCATAATTTGTGAATTCGACAGTACCAATGCTGCCACTGAAAATATTTATCGGCCCCTAATAGCCGTCACTAAACCCGGCTCTACGATGTAAACATTTAGCGTGAACTACAGCTCACCAGACCATGTGGGTGTGGGCGTGGTAGGGAGCGTGCTTACAGCTTGTTTTCTAACGTCTCCCAGAAGAGAATTATATATATAGATAATAGACATAAAGCCGATTGATGGGAAAATAAAACTGGCGCTAGGCTGTTTTTTTTTTATAATCTAAAACCATTACGTTATCTCCACCTTAACCTAAATCTAAGTCTAAAACTAAACATGTGAACCGGTACTGGAAATTTAACAAGTACATAAATTATAAAGGAAACCTTAATTTATGTGGAAACGAAGCTTTATACTGGGCTGGAAATTTAAGCTGAGCTTTTGCCGAAACTTCAAATTTTACATAGAATGGACATTTAACATTTTAACTGTAACTGAAAATTGCATCGGAAATTTAAATTCAACCTGAACCTGAACTATAAATCGCACCAGAATTAAACCGGAAAAGGAACTTGAACTGGAACCGATATTATAACTTTGACTGGAACTTTAAACGGAACGTGAACTTTGACCTAAACTAACAAATTATAACACCAACTAAACATACATGCCTACTTAAATGTATAGAAATTTAACAGGAAACTAAAACGAAGAGTTGACTAAAACGAAAATTAATCTCAAAACCTGCATTTTATCGTAAATTTATAAGTATACAACGTCAGTTCAAGATTATAATATTAAAGACCTGTTGAGTGTATAAAAGAAGAAGACAATAGAAAACGGAAGATGGAAATATCCAGAAGATAAGTTAATAAATAATTATTGGAATAAGTATTTATAAAATAGAAGACGAAATAAACATTGTTTCTTTCAGGAATGTGTTCTTGTTGCAGAGTAAAGGGTAAAGGGGGGGGGGGGTACTGCTCCACATAAGAACTTCAACTATTCCAACCTCCCGAACAAAATAAGTTTCATTAAAACTTTTATAATATAATAATATAGGCCTACATATCATATACATTTTTTAATGCTAGGATAAATATGAGTTTATGTTGTTATTATATACAAGTATTTATCCTAATGTATACACACCTTGATTTTCAGCAAGTGAACTTGCAACAAACTCCAGTAAAATAAACCACAGAATCATTTTAGCCTTTAAACTGATAGTAAAGGATGTCTGGTACCTACAATGTGCAGTGAGCGTTTGTCCAATATCTACATCCAGTAATGGAAGGGAAATTAAAATTCAGTTTTAACAACGGTTTCACCTTATTTTTGGATGAACCCATTTTTTTGGACAAAAAAATCTTGTATTTTTTGTATTCGAACTAATCTTTATTATTATGCAAAAACAAACATGTGTAAGTTAGATATGCAAAAAGTATTAAATCGTTTATGAAGAAAAAAAATGACTTGCTAAATAACTTTAAAAAACACACACACACACACACACACACACACACATATATATATATATATATATATATATATATATATATATATATATATATATATATATATATATGTATAATAACATATTTGTGTATTTATTTAATTAACTTGAATACATATCATTGTTGCTGAAAGTAATTGGTAGTTCCCACACCTCGTTAAGGTAAGCTAATAAATCGAGCACCTTCAAATTGAGACGACAACAATAATGTGAGAGCTATCCAACAACAACCTGAAGTGGATAATTATCCAGTCACCTCTAACGGTTAACACGCAACATGCACATATTTTTGTTTAGGTAATTGATGAGGGAGTATTGACCAGGGTTACGGAAAAATAAGTCCACAGCTAATGAAGTGAGTTGTATTAAGAAATATGGATATTTGACAATACTAGATCAGTTATGACAGTACTTCAACGAGAGAAAAAACATTTGTTTTTGTTTCTTATTCATGCATTCAGTTGCATGCGGCTTTGAAGTTGTTTACTCCAGACAAGCTAAGTTCACTGAAAACCGCCGTCATTCGTTTGTTTGATTTACACAAGTAAAATAATACGCATTTGAATAGTTTTTGTATTAGTTTACTAGCCGTCCCGGTCAGGCCTTGCATTGGCGTCTGTAAAAAAAATCCTATCTGGAAAGGATCATGACTTGTGTGTTTAGTAATCAGCATATACACGGGTTTGGGAAATATATTACTTTTCGAATTAACCCTAACCACAACCAACCTAATCGAAAGCACAAACGCAAATACAAACGCAAACATAAAGCAAACACAAAACCAAACAAAAACAAAAACGCCAACCAAAACCCAAATAAAACACAAACACAAACGCAAACCTAAACGCAAACAATAACGCAGACCATAGACAAAAACTTAAATGCAAATATAAACGCATAGTGCTCACAGTCTAGCTCGTGGCGCCAACCTCGCAGCCTGCCTGGCCGCCGGCGAAACATCCTGATTCAACTGAGTAAACGACTATTATACCCCAACTTATCCATAATCCATAGTCTATTACACTCCATTAAATGAAAGAAGGCATCAAAGGACTGAATAGAGATAATTTTCAGACACAATTAGAATTTTTGTGAAGGGTGATACATTTTGTTTAATTTTGTTTAATGCATATGCCGTCAATTAACACTTTAAGTTTGGAAAATGAAATTTGTGTCATAACACATTCAATATTTTTTTTTTAAATCATTAAATTAGATAATGAGCACTTTAGATATATTACACTATCGCGATCAAGTCTATTTTTTAAATCATTCATGTGGTACCAGGGATCAGTCCACCCGCCAGTCATTTAAAGAATTTAGCTTTATAAATTAGATAAAGTTTAGGAAAAGACAGAGAGGAAGGTAGACTCAAATACATCGTCGTTAAAAATAATTAAATTAAACACGTTGTGGTAGAAAGTATTAGCAATATTAGATACATAAGCGTAGACATAAACACATGTCAGTAAACCCTAGACTAATATACAGCAGTGTAAAGCCAATCCAGACTTATAAACAAATAAAAAAACAAGTAATTAAAAAAGTCTAGTGACAATTTTAGCGCAATTTCCTTATGTTATCTAAAATTAGCTCTGTCGTAGCGTAAATCAAGAGCAGGGTTAGTAAAACCATTGGTTAGTTATTAAAACGTTTTTACATGTTTTATTTACAATAGAGTAATATGACTAAAAACCATTTCGCGCCCAGCTACCGAACGTTATGTCGCAGCCATTGAACGTGATGTCGCAGCCATTGAACGTGATGGCGCAGCTATCGAACGTGATGACGCGTGTGGTGTGGTTGCATAAAATGCCTACTAATTCGGTCCAAATTTTAATTAATTCAAAAAATTTGTTGTGACCGAACGAAATGATATTTTTGAAAACTGTCTTCGGCAATATTGTTCTAAATTATGGCAGGAATCGATTGGTACATGTTTCAAGTCTGGTCTGGTTGCCGAGATATGGGCTAAAAACTGCTTTATTTCGAGGTTTTTTGGCTTTTCCGGGAAATCCATGAAAGAAACCCGGAATTTTTATGACCTATGTTCATCCTCGTAACTTGTTTAACATAATTGCTTTTGGAACTAGTCATCGATATTGCTTCGTTGAGGAGGAGATACGACTTAAAGCTGCGGACACACATTCATCCATTCATCCATCCATCCGGAAATGACGGGTTAATAAACGCAATTCTCCAGAATGGAAATTGCGCTAAAAATTATACAATCTAGACTAAAACGCATTAGAATAAAATCACATCAGGAAAAAAATTCCAGACTTTTATACATTAGTTATATATTTTAAGAAAATCATTTGTTTTCTCCTGTTTAGTTCATAATTATATACACGCTTGTTTTTTCGGTTTCTGTTTTTAATTTCTCGCATACAATGTGTATGGAACATATTCGAATCCTGTTGAATAATTTGATGATATTTTAATGTTTTTTACCGTTTTACACCTCCCAACTTTATCATATACAGAACATGAGCAATCGTACAAAAAAAAAAGCTAAATAGAGATTTTGAAAACTGTTGACCTTATACATCCTTCCGGTATGAAAAACTTCGTTATGCAATGCGTCCGCGCGCGCGCGCGCGTGTGTGTGTGTGTGTGTGTGTGTGTGTGTGAGTGTGTGTGTGTGTGTGTGTGTGTGTGTGTGTGCTTACATGATTTCGTAAATACGTTTTCAGTTATTATGATGAAGTTTCATGTATAGGTATTATATATCGAATGTCTAGTTCTGTATCAACTTGTTGTCGATTTCCAGTTACCAGAAGAGGTGTCACAATATATTTCCGGTTTCTTAAAATCCAATTACTATAGCGCCGTTTAGCTGAGTGTTACAGATGGCTCCTTATGTATTTTGGCTTGTTTTCGGCCAGATGTAACTATTATAAATAAATACACTCCACAACGAAAATTTGATTTATAAGGGGGGACACTGTTAAAAGTATATATTTTCTATATAATGTCATTTTGTTCGAGTGGGGAGGGGGGGGGGGCGGTAGACTTGTTTCGGGCCCCGAAGAGATGCACACCACTTCCAAGGGGACGCTATTCTCACACACACTCTATCCGTGCGACGTGACTACACACTTCCGTATAGACATCTACGTCACACATAGCTCGATGAATTTCCATTCTGAAGAATTGCGTTTATTAACT